CCCTCTTTCAGCCCCTAAGGCTTGATAAAAATTGGACCCTTCCAGATCCAATTTACCTTGCTTGTTGTCCCTCCGTCGTGATCACGATGTTCGACTTACCCGGTTGAGATACCAATTGGAACCAGGAACCATCGATTGGACTCAACTCAAACCACAAGCAACACTTTGCACGAAAGGAGAGACGAAATGGAACAATTCCTAGAATGCTTCTAGCCTCTTAAATATTAGATGTGGACGTCAATGCACAAATCTAAAGAGTTTAGCACACATTTTTCTCTTGTACAAGGAGATCGGTAACCTAGGCTTTAATACTAATTTATCACAATCCAACCCACCGAGTCGTGCGGGCACCCACTCTAACACCTAAGTAGGAGAACCTTCATATCTCAAAAGTTTAAACGTTCGAAAAATTTAAGAAAATAAAGATAATTATCCAGAATGAGACTTTTATCAAAACTTTTTCACACATACTTGAGTTAAAACTTACAAAGTAATTAACAACTCTCATGTATCTAGTCTAAATTGGTACAAAGCTACTAAGAGTACAACGGGACAAAATAAATAAAAGACATATCTCCCACCATGCGGCAGGAAGAACATAAGATGATAGAGAATTTTTTTATCTGCACCTAAAGAAACGTCACCAACCCTTCATCCAGACTATATAAAAAAGACAAAACAAGAGTAATATCAGTACAAAAACAAGTACTAATAGGCAGCATCGGTCAACCCGACGTCCACCACATAACATATGAAATTAAGTAGTAAGATCATGAATTAGACCACCTCTCCACCTTTACCCAAAATTCTATAATTACTAACCGCCTTCTCAATCAACCTACTCTTACTTCCATGTCACCCTACTCAATCATGGTAACATAGCTCGCTATCCCGATTTTCCTTACCACTAACCCCAATCTCTTCCCCAAGGTGAAAACCACCGAAGCACACTTCCTCACAAACACTATCTCTACTTCCTTTTCATAATTACAACACCCCAAAAACCCAAGATATCCATCACTCGTCACTTGAATCCCTTTCCCTTTCACTATACCCCATGACGTTGCTCAATCACAAGGACAATTAAACATAAACCATCACAACATACAACCACCAAGTACAACACATATGATTTAACACAACTATGACATCAAATACAGAAGTAGAATATATATACAATATTGAATATCACATGTTTAAACAATACACATTTATCACAAGTATGTCAAGTAGTTGTTCCTCTCATATAACCCAAACCTAAACTGTTAGTGCATCGAAATGTGGTACTCGATGCGATAGTTATATCAGAACGTGGCAATTCGATCCAAGTTAGTTATGCCAAAATATGTCAATCCAATCCAAGTTAGTTATGCTGGAACGTAGCAATACGATCCATTACACCACAATCACAAACACAAGTATACTTTCAAGTCATACAATCAAGAGTGATTTATGACATATAATCAGTCGTCTGTCTCATTACAACAAGTGAGAATCAACGTTGCAACATTCACATACATAAATGATCATAATGAAGCAATAACAAGAATACATCACACAATCATAGAATCAAAATAATCACCTACAATGTGTTCCTCGTTGCGCATATCATGCAAACCCTGATTCAACCACATTCAGCCTAATTCATCGTCTAAAGCTTCTTTCTAGGGTTTTAAATCCTAAATCGTTAGGTGCACGAAGGCCTACACATAAATCCTACCATTGATTCACATATATTACGCAGTAAACATAAATTTTAACTACTCAATTCATAAAACATATCCTACCAGGGCGCCAAATAGTTGCACGGAGTGTTTGACTTTATTTTGCGGGCTTGCAATGGTGAATTTGTCTATGAATCTGCAAGATTTCACCATCCCCTCACTAGAAATCTCCTTCTCCTTCATTCCCAGGATTAGAACAGTTTTTTCTCAGGTTTCTAGAGTATTTACGACTTGTTTAGGTATTTATAGGAAGATGGAGAAAATTTAATAGCATTTCTCGCACTTTACGTTCTGTCTCGCTTATCTTGCTCCATCGCTTCTGCCCTAGCGGCAGCAGAACCACTGTGGCGGGACAGTGACCCAAAAAATTTTCTGATTTTTTATCTCTCCTAATTAATGACAGTTCAGATCGTTACATTATTAAATTTCCTGTTATTTGCTTGGTTAATGCATCGATGTATCTGTTTAGTTCAACATGTTCAGTATTATTTTTATCATGTTTTGCTTACATATTTAGTACATTCAAAGTATTAACCGCATACTTTCTGCATATATCATTTGATAATATGGCCTCAGACATTTAAAGCTTAAGACGTGATTAATATAAATTTCAGCCAACATAGCAGAAGTATTTGGTAATTCCTCATCCTTCGAGGACGACCCTTACCTTTAACAATTTCAATTAGGCTTTCTTTCAGTTTTCAGATTGGTGAAGTAATTAGGTAGGGACTTGTCCTAGCAACTTGTTAAGTAGAGGCTTTCAAGGAGTCAACTTAGATTCAATTATATATGTTACAAAACATATGAGTGTCTATTTCTTGTATGACTATTCAGTTTTAGTTTTCACTAAGTTTCAGTTATTTTTAGGTTATTTCATGTTTATCTTAGTATCATGTCAAATCATGAAATTAACTTGGGGTCACTTGTAGCTCTAAGTACCGTATCACAACTAGGGAATCGTCACGTATCCTGACAATTAAGTCCTTATTATAAATAACTTATTGCTTTTTAGCAAAATAATAGTACTTTAATGACCATTATTACTTGTTATCAGATCATGTATCTAATTGATAGATGCTATCATGTGATATAACTGATTATTTTCATGTTTAATTAATGTCCTAAGTCATACACAACCCCCTAAACTTGTCCACATATTTCATTTAGACACCTCAATTCAACTGTATACCTTTTGAACACTTATATTGTAAGAGATTTGTACCTATTAAACATTTTGTGCTGACATGGCAGCATGTGTGTAATACACACATGAAAAAAGCGTGAAAGAGCATCATTTAACCAAAACAAATAATTTTTTTAAAAATAAAATAAAATTAGCATCTCTTCATCTTCTTCTTTGACTCAACCACCATTGGAACCACCTTCTCACCACCGCAATCACCGGTGTCCCACCATTAAAGTTCATTTCATTTTTTCTCGAGCTGCAATCATTCTTCTTCTCTATTCCACTTTATTTTTTAATTAAATATATGTCACCATATCCACAATGCTCTTTTCCTTTATTTTTTCAGTCATCTTCTTCCCTTTTTTTTTCAGACCATCATCTTCTTTCTCCTTTTTTACCAACCATCGAACACCACCTCATTTTTCTCCAAATTTATCATCGTCAATAACGTTTTTTCTTTTTAGCTTTTCAAACAATCAATTACAAATTTTAATTTGTTCATTAGAAAACAATGCCACCAATCATCTTTTTCTTTATGCCAAATCAACTCAAACATGAATTAATCTAAGCTCAAAAATAAAACATTAATTAGATAAAAAGAAGTAGAAAATTTTTAGGTGATTTAAGTGTTTTTTTTATAAAAAAAAAAAAAAAAGAGGAAGAAGATGAAGTTGGGGTGGGAGGGGGAGCAGGTCTGAGCAGAGGCAGAAACATACATACTTTAGGATTTTATTTTTTTAATTATAATTATTTTTGAGCATAAAAGACGGATTGCTTTTTTTTTATTAAGACACGTGTCTTCTTTTAATTAATTAGTTTGCCATGTCATGGCAAGTGCATCACACACACTTGACATTTTTTGTGGATTATCAAAATATGTCTAATAGGAAAAATTTTATATAAGTAACAGTGTTCAATAAGTAAAAGATTAAATTAAGGTGTCTAAATGAATAATGAGGACAACTTTAAGGGGCCACAAATGACTTTGGCCTTAATTAATTAATCAATTACTTTTTTTTTTACCTAAAAAGTTGTCTAGCCTTTATTTACCAAGTGGCCGATTATTGACAAATAATTTAGTAGTTGATTAGAAAACATATTTGTCAACAATTGACATGTATCAATTTATGATGTACTTATCTTCAGTCCATCGTCAACATAGAGGGTAGTCGATAATCGTATTGATTTTTGATTTCTCAATAAGATAATTAAAACTAATTTGAAGATGGGAACTATTTTGCAGTAATTTAAAAATATTTTTGTACTAAAATTGACAATTTTTAAACTTCATTTTCTGATGTGTCTATTTCACCATTTTTTTTTTCAAAATTGATGAATATTTTACTAATTGAGTTTTCAAAGTGTTATTTTACCAGTGTACTTGTATAGGTGTAGTCAATATATATGAGAGCCCGTTTGGATTAACTTAAAAAAGTAGTTTTAAGTTAAAAATAAAAAGTCAAACTAAAATGATTTTTAAGTAAAAAGAAAAAGAGTAGGGGGAGACCTACTTTTGGTTTCTGACTTATTTTAAGTTATTCGAATCATTGCTATTTTACTCAGATCTGTTCTAAAAAAGTTGAGGTATTTCAACTTTTGACTTATTTTAAGTCATTTTTTACTTTGCCAACACTTTGTAACTCATTTTAAGTCATTTTTGACTTATTTTAAGTTATGTTTCATATTTGTCAAATACTTTAGACGTCAAAAACTGACTTAAAAGTAGATTTGATGAACTTTTAAGCCAATTCGGAAAGGCTCTTTGGGCCTATTTGGATTGACTTTTGGTTTATGACTTATATGCCAAAAGTTATAATTTAGGATTTTAACTTATGATTTTTGACTTATTTTTGCTATTTTGACTTTAACATAAGTGCTTATAAACACGTTTTAACTTTATCCAAATACTTCAAATCTGATTAAAAACTATTATAGCTTAAAAACACCTAAAATAAGTCAATCAAAACGAACACCTAGTCCTACATGCACATGTTCAACATGAAAATGGGGCCATCTACCCTTTTTCCGGGCCTATAAAATGCCTCCTTCCTACTATAACTTTTCCATTCACCTTTCAAGTACAAATAACTTTTGTCTCACACACTAATTACACCTATAATTCACTACACATTGTCCCTGCAAACTCAAATAATACCTTTAAGTCATGCAATCCACTAACGTCACAGAATTATATTATAATCCTGCTCAATATAATTACACACCAACGTTTCATGATCAATCCATTAATAGAATCCCTAGTCCCTTATATCACCTTCAAATTGGTCCTCCAATTCAACAACTCAATTCACAATCAACTTATTTCAACACTAACAATTCAACGTGTGATGAAATTGATGAGCTAATAAATGAAAGGAAAAAAAGAAGAATGATATCTAATCGAGAGTCCGCAAGGCGATCGCGCATGCGCAAGCAAAAGCACTTGAACGAACTATGGGCACAGGTTAGTGACAAATGTAGAGAGATGTATTCCAAATTTTGAATCATGAAAATGAAAAGAATACTAGCTTTCGAATAAATTATTTATATATATATTAAGTTGATTTCTCCATACAAATTAATATTTAATTTATGGTACTCATTACTTTTTAGTTTGTGTCAAAAATATTCATACCCGTCAATATTTGGAAGCTACTCCTTGTTTTAACATTTCTCAACATTTACAAAGAATTATAAATATATAAAGGCTAAATCTTGAATTTGCCTCATTTCAGGTAAATTGCCTGCGGAACGAGAATCACCTACTCCTGAACAAACTTAATCACGTCTCAAAAATCCATGACCAAGTACTTGAAGAAAATGCTCAACTCAAAGAAGAAACTGCTGGACTTCGTCAAATAGTTACTAACATGCACCTCATGGATGGTCCTAATTATCCTTTGAAAGAAATTCAACTTGATGATGATGAACCTTGTAGTGGTTCATCTCAAAATGAATAGAATAAACGTAAATGTGCATGTGCTTTAACTTAACTAGCCTTATCTGATATTCACGTTCTTCAGCTTTAGGTATGCACAAATAGATACTTAAAGTTATACATAGAACGAGTAAACACATACATTCTAAATGAAAATTAACGTCCTATATGGCATCCTACTGTTTTATGTCAGGTAGAACGCATCTGTCTACTTGTTCAACTATATATAAGTTTAAGTGTCTACTTATACATACCCAAAGTTGAAGAATATAAATATCAACTGAGGTCAAATTAAAAGTCATATTTATATATGTATTACGACAATTTTATAAAGTCCCCTATATATTATGCTTGCTGGCCGTGGTTTTCTTTCTGTTTTTGCTTTCTTTATATTTGGATGATGTAAATAATTTGAGTTTTCCTCCTCTTATTGGTTAATCTGTTTACTGGTTGTGGTCTAGGCTATGATTATTATATATTTGCTCTTTATGCTTTATGTATGTCGTTCTTTCTTTGCAATAGAAGTATTTGTCCCTATTTGTGTTTGTTTTTTTTCAGATTTAAACAGCGAAAACTTTAACTAATTATTCAAAGGAAAAAAAAAAGAAGAAATATATTTGAATTTTAATCAAAATTGTTGTAACACTATCGAACTTTGGAAATGACCTTTTATTCCTCTGCACTATTTAATAGTGTATTTTTAAAGGTATATATATGTATCTACGTAGACATCATAAAAAATGCATCATTATAAATAGTAACGTGTCCAGATGGGTACATATATGCTTTAAAATACACTATTAAATAGTGTAGAGGGATAAATGGTCTTCCATAAAGTTTGGTATCGTAACGACAATTTTCGATCAAAATTATATTTTTCACATCCTTTTCCCTAATTTAAAATGTATTATCTGATCATATTGATATAAAAATAATTTTAATTTAGAGTACTTTATTTTAGTTTTTAATACACAAATATTTATTTAAAAAATATTAAGTTGATCAATTTAATCCAATTTTACTCTAATAATTAATCAAATTAATAAAAAAAAGTGAAAAAACATCATATAAATTAAAACAAAAGACGAAATTTTCGGGGTCAAAGATAGTAATCAATTAAGTACTGTAATGCCTTTCGGTCTAAGCTATCAACTAAGATTTTAAGTTGATCTTATTTAATTTAACTAAAAGAAAATTAAATTAACATTACAAATATTAAGTTAGGTCACTGTATTATTAAAAAGAATTAATCACGATAACTCCCCAAATGTAACTACTAATCATGTGAACAAGTACGTATGCTATTTGACTAAGACATGTCATAATTTTAACTTCTTATGAATATGACTTAAGATGGAATGGTATGAAGGTTCAACATAAGGATACGTGAATATTGTCGCATTCTTTGCGGGAGGGGGAGTGGGCTAGCTCCCTCATCCCCTCATGTCCTTTCAATTTAGTTATTACATAATTTTTTATTCTTTAAAGCGTATATACATATATATATATATATATTGTTTTATCTGTTTTGTATCTTGCTGCTTTGGTGTCTTTTTCTTACAGTTTTGCATCAGACACTTGATTATTTGAGCCGAGAATTATTGGAAATTGTATTTCTACGAAAAAATAGGTGAAATAAGATCTTCGTACATTCTACACATTCTAGAGCCTACTGAGCTTATTAAATTGAAGTTAGTTATTACTATAAGAGTATAGAGTAATTAAAAATATTAATAACATAATAGAATCAAGATCAAATATGATATAGGACACAACATTTTGTTTAGATTAACGAGAAATGATGATTCTTTAATTACCTGTTTTAGCCATACTACAAATTAAATGGTCCTAATTATCCTTTAAAAGAACTTCAACTTGATGACGATGAACCCTGTAGTGGTTCATCTCAAAATGAATAGTACAAACATAAATCTTAATTAGCCTTATCTAATATTTATGTTCTTTAACTTGGGTATGCACATTTAGTTATTTAAATTTGTACAAAGAACAAGTAAACACATGCATTTTACATAGTAATTAGCGTTTTATATGATGTTCTACTTGCCTTATGTCATGTAGGACGTGTGTGTCTACTTGTTCAACTATGTATAAATTTAAGCATCTACTTATATCCGAAATCGATGAATATATATACCAACTGAGATCAATTTAAAAGCCATATTTATTTACGTATTATGACAAATTTTTAAGTCCCTATATATGATGCTTGTTGGCATGGTTTCCTTTCTGTTTTTGCTTTCTTTATACTTGGATGATAGAAATAATTTGAGTTTTCCTCTCCTTATTGGTTAATCTCTTTCCTTGTTGTGGTCTAGGCTATGATTATTATATATTTTTCCTTTATGCTTTATCTATGTCGTTCTTGCTTTGCTTTAGAAGTAAAGTATTTGTCCCTATTTTTGTTTGTTTTTTTTCCAGATATAAATAGTGAAAACTTTTAGTAATGATTTATAGGGAAAAAGATATGAAATATATTCAAATTCTGAACGAAATTATTGTTACAATATCAAATTTTGGAAATGACCTCTTACTTCTCTACACTATTTAATAGTGTATTTTACAGGTATATATGTGTCCACGTAAACATCATAAAAATTGCAGCATTATAAATATTAACATGTCCACGTGAGTACATACTTTTAAATACACTATTAAATAGTGCAAGGGTAAAAGGTACTCCATAGAGTTTGATATCATTACAACAATTTCGATCAAATTTAAATTATTTTTTAGACCCTTTTCCCTAATTTTAAATGTATTATCTCATCATATTGATATAAGAATAATTTAAATCTAGAGTACTTTATTTTAGTTTTAATACATATATTTTAATTTAAAACTTATTAAGTTGATCAATTTAATTCAAATTTACTTTAATAATTAATCAAATTAATTTTTTTTAAAATGAAAAAATGTCAAATAAATTAGAACCAAAAAAGAAACTTTAAATCTAAGCTAGCTATCAATTAATTAGTACTGTAATGCCTTTCGGTCTAAGCTACGAAGAAAGAAACTTTTAAGGGGTCGTTTGATACAAATATTTATAGTGCAGAGATTAGTAATGCAGGGATTAATAGTGTAGGGATTATTTTTTGTCAAATGTTTGGTTCACTACTTTCCACTTAATTTTGTGTTTAATTTATAATTCTACAAAAAAAAATTCTTTTCTATTATACCCTTGTGTTATTATGAGTGTTTATTTCATGTAACTAAGTCAAGATAGATAACTACCGGATTGGATAATTTTTTTAAAGAATTATTTATTCCATTTAATTAGTTAATCAAATACATATATATAAAATTGTTATTAATTTTAAGGTATGATGTACCACTAAGAAGATCAGTGATGGCACAATGTATTTCTAATTTTTTGTGGGTTAAGTATATATCTTAAACTTAACATAGATTTAAGACTACTTAAATTGTTAATACCTAAAACTTTTTTTAAAAAAAAAAATAGTTCAAGTGGGTAATTGACAAATTATCTTGAATATAAAAAAAATCAAGAAAAAATGGAGAAAAAAATATTAGTAAAATCATTAAATTACACCAAACAAATTTGGAGAATTAAAAAAGAACATTTATAACCACTCTAATATAAATAAAAAGGAAATTAAATTACAAAAGATTTTTTTTTAAAAAATGAATAAAGAGTTAGTTTAGTCATTTAGGGATCTTATCCAAGGTTTAACAAACCTTGGATTACCTATCCCTCCCTTTCCTAGGGATAAAATAAGACCTTGTATGAGGTATAACTAATCCATGGATTAGGTTAAATGAAGTAACAAAACAATGTTTTTTATTGGACTAAATTTTAATCCATGGATTCTTTTGATTAATACCTCCTACCAAACGGGTCCTAAGTCTAAGCTAGCTATCAATTAATTAGTACTATAATGCCTTTCGGTCTAAGCTATCAATTAAGATTTTAAGTTGATCTAATTCAATTTAACTAAAAACATTATTTAACATCATAGATATTAAAAGATCAAAATATTAAGTTGATCATTTATATTAAAAAAATTAGGCGAAATGATTTGATAGACCCTTATACTTGTATCAGTTTGTATTCTGAACCTTTCTACTTTATCCGTTTGTCATCTGGACTCTTAAACTCAATTAAAATGAGACTTTTAAGCCCCTCCAACCATGTGTGTAGCTCACTTTCAATTATATAATTGACATGTCATAATCACGTCAGATATATTAATGTCACATCATAATTATTTCGTAACTATTTTTTAAAATTAATAACTAAAGTTATTTAATAAAATTTAAAATAATAACATCTTAATTTATTTTTGGCATTTTTAAAAGTGAAATTCCATTAATTCAAAATTTTCACGACCAAAATCAACCAGAGAAAGCAATTGCCGCCGACGTCGCCATTTTTGTCGGTGAAATCACATATACTGTAAAATCTCGTAACTCTAAATAGCAAGTAATAAGCTAAAAAGAAAAAAATAATCACTTTTGGAAAGAAATGAAAAAATTTGGAAAATTTCCTAAGTTTAAAAAGTGAGTTTTGGCCATTTTCAAACCGCCTTTACTTCTAGCTCAGGATTAGTTAGAGTCACTTCTTCGTATAGTTATAAAGCCTTTGGGAAGATCTTTCCAACGCTCGATTCTGATGTAGGATGAGGGAATATGCCTTTCGAAATTTGGGCTGTTGGATTAACGAAGTTCCAATCCGGATTTTTGTAAGGGTAAATTAGTCTTTTCACCTAAATATTTTCTAATTCGTTTTAAAGGTCTATTAGAAATAAAAATAAGCCTTAAGTCAGTTTTAAAAAAGTTATTCACGCTTCGCGCTTGGGAGAAAAGAGAGGAGAAGAAGAAGAAGGGAGGAAGATCAAGATTTCGCCTAGAAACGCCAAGGATTCTTGTAAAATTCGTCGGGGGTGATCCCTATTGAGGTATGTGAGATATTTATCTGTTAGGTTAGTTCACTCACACACCAACTTGTGTAATTCAAAGAGTTATGAGTAGATTGATTGAGGAAAAATGAAGTTTTTGAAGAAAAATGGTTGAATTCTTGTTGGTTGAATTGTATCATGCCTTTAGTTTATTTGATTCGTGTTTTCGAGCTATTTTTTGAGTCGAATCAATTGGGTATTGAGGGTATTAATGATCCTAAGTGTTTGAGAAAAAAATTCATGGAAGTTTAAAGGGTTTAGAGATGAAAAACATAAAAGAAAAGTCGGAACGCCTATCTGTCAGGCCCTGGAGTGCCGCACCAGCAAGAGTCCCACAAGATAGACTCTATATGACAGGCTCTGGCGCGTGGCGGATAGTTTCTGTTCGTCAGGATTCAGTGCCCTGCGCCTCTTGGAGCGTCAAGTTTACTGGAGACCCCATTCTTTCTCACTCTTTTAGCACTAGTTCCTAAGTGACGTAACCACATTTCTTAGTTGATTCCAATACTCTAAGGTACATCTAAACATCATGAAATCATCCATAACCATGAGATCATGAACCTTA